ACTGAGCTACATCCCCAGCCTTTTCTAAATATGTATTTATTTGTTTGCTTGCTTGCGTTTTTTTTTTGTTTTTTTTAAGATAGAGTCTCTCTGTAATTCAGGCTGGCCTTGAACTTGCTGTGTAGCCCAGGCACGCCTTGATCTCGTGGAATCTTCCTGCCTTGGCCTACTGAGTGCTGGAATTACAAGCGTGTGCCGCCATGCCTGGCTCTAAATTTTATTTTGAGACAGGATCTCCTTAAGTTGCCTAGGCTGGCCTCAAACTTGTGATCCTCCTGCCTCAGCTTCTGGAATAGCTGGGTTATAGGGGGGTGTCATGAAGCCCAGCTATTAATTTTTATGTGTATTAATTTATTTTATTATCACATCTAAGTACTGTTTTCCCATATCATAGATGAGAAAACAGATGAAGATAAATTAAGTGACTTGAGGTCACATAATAAGTGATAGAGCTAAGCTTGGATATAGGCAATCAGGCTCTCCATTTTTAATTTTTAACTTCTACATTGTAGTCTTTTCAAGAGCTAAACTTTGTTTTTCTCTGTATAGAAAAAGATTGTTGAAAACTCGACATCTTTTAACTTTTATGCATGTATCACCAGTTTTTATACATTTTCTTTTTTGGTACCGGGGAACGAACTCGGGACCTTGCGCTTGCGAGGCAGGCACCAGAACCACTGAGCTAAATCCCTGGCCCTATACATTTTTTTAAGTAAGTATATTTATCGGACTAGAGACATCCTTTTTTATGTAGTTCATTATAGATGAATGTTTATTGGTAATGAACAACTAACATTTTAAGTTTCAGTAAATTTGAGTCTGCATATTAGAAGGCAGTAAGTAGCCTTGTTTGCATTTCACAAATCTTTTTGCAGATTTGTATCAATTATCACATTATACCTTTAGCTACCTTGGCTGATCATTTTTTCCCTTGATGTTCTATAAAAAAAGATACAAGCAGCAAAGATATATTGGAAATAAAGTACCAGTGTTTTTTCCTCCTGGACTGGGCATTGAATCCAAGGTCTTCACACAGAGTTACATCTCTATCTCTTTTTAAAGTTTTTTTTTTTTCTGTTTTGAAATAGGGTATTTCTAGGTCAGTTAGATTGGCCAGGTTGGGTTCAAACTTGTAGTCCTGCCTCAGCCTTCCAGATCTTGGGATCACAGGCGTGCACCAACATGTCTGCCTGGCTTTACACTGGTTTTTGTACTTTAAATTCTGTGGTAGAGTTTGGTGAGCACATCTAGAGCACAAGCTTTAAAACCCAAGACTGTAGTTTGGCTTTTGAGATACTCACTCTTCTCTTAAGTTTCGCCTTTGTATCACTTTTGGGAAGGGACTCTCAGAAATGGAGAGAAAACATTGGTTCTTTTTTTTGATTCTTCTGACACATGAAAGGGAGCAGAAGAGAATGACATGGAAAGAAAAAGCAGGTTGGTTAAGTGTTGTGGCAGCCTAGACAAGGGAGAAAAAAGTCACGTTGACATGAATGTTTTGTTTTATGGTGATCCCTGTCTATTAATAAACACACCTCAGATGGAGTTCTGGAATCTGACCAATCACATCTCTTTATTTTTTGAAGGACAGTGCTTGGGGAGAGGAGAGAAAAGCTTGTAGAGATGCCTTCCCTTAGATTGCCATACCCACTTTAAGTTTGAATTGTCTTGAAATCTCTGTCTGTCCCTGTCTCTGTCTCTCTGTCTATCTCTCTGTTTCCATCTCTCTGTCTCTCTGTCCTTGTCTCTGTCTGTCTCTGTCTCTCTCTCAGACAAGGTCTTGTTAAATGGTCCAGTCTGTTCTCCAACATGGGATCCCCTTGCCTCAGCCTTGTGAGTAGCTGTAATTACAGGTTTGTAATTACAAATTACCCAGCTTGAGTTATATTTTCTATTTCTTCTCAGAGGAAAAATATCATCCAGTGTGACATTTTTTTGTTGTTGTTTTTATTTTTTTTGGTCCTAAGGATCAAACTCAGGACCTTGTGCTTGCAAGGCAGGCATGGTGCCACTGAGCTAAATCTCTGGCCCTAGTGTGACAATATTGATAGTGACTTTTGAGCTTTAAAATGATAATTAAAATGTGCTGGAAATAGGGGCTGGGGATTTAGCTCAGTGGCACTGCACCTGCCTCGCAAGCACAAGGTCCTGAGTATGATCCCCCATACAAAAAAAAAAAGTATACTAGTAATATAGCTCTATGGTAGAACCTTGGGCTTAATTGGTAGCACTTGAAGCCAAGAAAACAAACAAAAACTAAAAGTATAATAAAATTTTCTTAAAATCTGTTAGTGAGGGAGCTTGTTGCCTTATATTGTTTTCTCTAGGTGAGCAAAGGGGAATCTCAGTTGTAGCTGTTTATTGAACGTATCATCTTTGTAGAAATTGCTGCTTTCTACCTTTATATCAAATTCAATTTTAGATTTACTTGTCATAACCCAGGTTTCATTAATTCGTGCCACTAGTAAATTTATTTTATTTGCTTGTTTGTGTATGTGTGTATGTGTGTGGTACCAGGGTTTCAGACCCAGAGCTCTTCTGCACTGAATTCCATCACCATCCCATTTTTTTTTTTTTAATTGGTACCGGGTATAGAACTGGGGTCTTTGCCCTGGCTCAGCAGGTGGCAAAAACCACTGAGCTAAATCCCCGGCCCTCCATCCCATTTTTCTATTTTGAGACAGAATTGCTTACTTGCCCAGGCTAGGCCCAAACCCTTGAGCTTCCTGCCTCAGCCTCCCAGAGTGCTAGGATTACAGGCATGTACCATCATGTTAGGGTAGTAAATTTATTTTAAAAGGACAATTTATTGATGGAATCAAGAAGTAGTGAGTTGGGCTGGGGATATAGCTCAGTGGCACTGCACCTGCCTCACAAGCTCAAGGTCCTGAGTTTGATCCCTGGTACCAAAAATACTCACAAGAAGTAGGAGTGCTTTCCTGTTTTCAGTGAGTTAATTTGGTGTGATTTGTAAACTTGGAAAATTTCTGATGTGTAGAAAAACTCAATATGTTTCAATTTGAGGCCTATCACTGTGAAGCTATGGGAAGTTAAAACACACACACACACACACACACACACACACACACAATTTACCAAAGATGCTTTTCACATTTTAATAAAAGTTAAAATACTGGTGTGCTTTTAAAAGAACACTAGAGTTAGTCTACTGGTTCTTAGCTTGATTTGACTGTTGCCTAGTATTTTTATGTTGAGCAAATTTTTCCACCTCTATTTATTTACCTGTAGATGACATTGTATCCAGTTTACCTCCAGCTTTGCTCTTTAACTAATTTATAGCAGTTTTAATGTGCTTGACATTGAGCAGGGCGATAGAAAAGAAAGGAAATAAGTTTCTTGAATAACTCAGTGTTAGTAATTGATATTTTTAAAAACTTTTTTTGTGGTACTAGGGTTTGAGTATGATTTGGAATGTTTTCACAGGATATATTTAATGAATTAGGAATTAGCTGCCCATGGAAGATGGGGAAAGATGGAGTATATTACTTGGATAGGTTTTGAATCTTAGTATTCAGGTGCCATCTGTTGAGATACTTGAAGTAGAATCGGTGTTCTTTCAGTATTTACTCAAGTGGTATATTATAGTACTTCTTAGTTGTAGAATATTAGCACTGAAAGACACTTGGATGTTAGAGGTCAAAAATCATGTTCTTTTACCATACTCAGAATATTTCCACAGCAGGTTTACATACAGCAAGTTTAGTGCTCTATTTGTAGGGACTATTCTAAGAGTTCATGGTAGAAGTATTTACTGTTTCTTTAGGAAAGAGGGTGGTGTGCTTGGTTTACAGAGTGGGTAGGGTTTGAATAGGTGAGAGAAGAGCATATTAGGCCAGAGCAATGGTAGTACATAGAGCAAGGTGTTCATGGGGCAACTTTTGCTAGAGGCTTTGTGAGAGGAAGTATCATAAATGAAACTGGGAATATGGATTGGATCAGATTATAGATTGGATGAAATTAGAATGGAGCTGAGAATGGTGGTACACATCTGTAATCTCACCTATTCAGGAGGCTAAGACAGGAGAATCACAAGTTTGAGGCCAGTCTGGGCAACTTAATGAGGCTATATCTCAAAATAGGACTGGGAAAAAAGGCTGGGAAGGTATGTCAGTGGTAGAGTGTCTTGAGTTCCATATCTAGTACCAGAGGAAACAAAAAGGAAATTTAGAATGGTGAATAGGTTTGTGTAAAGATTTTTCCATGATGAGTAAGTTTGGGTTTTTTTTTTCTTCTGAATAATACTATCTGGGATAGGACAGGTTAAATATATTAGATGGGGCAGGTATAATTTTGAGAATGATTTTTTGGACTTGGGATGTCAGGGATCATAGGGTTCTCTTTAGATAAGATTCTTCTGGGCATAAAAGAAGGATGCAAGTATAGTATAGTTTTATTATGACTGTAGTTCATTACTTGCATATGAATTTTGAATTGGTTACTTTTGTGATCCTTTTAAATAGATAATAGGTCTGCATTTAGAATTTGTTGCACTTATTTTTTGCATTCTAAAGAATGCTGATCACATGGTTTGGTTTTGTTTGTGGTACTGGGCATTGAATCCAGGGGCACTCCAACACTGAACTATAACCCCAGCCCTTTTTATTTTTTGAAACTGTTGCTAACTTGCCCACGCTGGCCTCCACCATGTAATACTCCTATGTCAGCGTCCTGAGTATCTGGGATTACATGTTTGCGCCACCATGCCTGACTTGGTTTTTCTTTTTTAAAAAAGAGAATGGGGTCTTAACATGTTGCCTAGGCTACCTCTAAACTCCTGCACTCAAGCAATCCACCTGTCTTGGCCTCCTGAATAGGACAATAGCTGTTTGCCACTGTGCCTGACTCAGTCTTGTAGTGTTTTCTTTTTTGAAGTGAATAATATTCATGCCATTTGTTTTTTTTTCTATAGACTTTTTGTCTATGGTCTTTTTGTCTTCTCCTTGCAAAGATCTGACTAATGCTTTTCATTTTATTTTTAGTTTGACCTTGGTTGAAGAAAAAAATTAGCCTGTATGTACTGCTTTAACCACTGGAAGAATGACAGATGACAAAGATGTGCTTCGAGATGTATGGTTTGGACGAATTCCAACTTGCTTCACTCTGTATCAAGATGAGATAACTGAAAGAGAAGCAGAACCATACTATGTAAGTATGTTGATGATAGCAAATGGGATATTTAACTTTGTCTATTTTTATAAATAAAATTCAACGAATCTGGAGGCTGTTATTATCTAACATTTTATATACTACTTCAGTGGTACCTCAGTTCAGGAACTCAAGTCTTTCCATGATTCTGGTCACAAACCCAACTGGATAAGAACTGAATCAAATTTCCCCATAAGGTCAACATTAAACCTAACCATTGAATTTGATTTTGTTCTCATCTGACCCTATGACCTGAATCATGGAAAGAATCAAGTTCGTGAACTGAGGTACCACTGTAATCCATGCTTTGGCAAAAAATGAGCAAATAGATAATCAAATATAATGAAATAGAAATGACCTCTAGTCTTACTAGAGTATAAAACTACTGTTGACATAATGATATGATGCCTCTTGACTTTCTTTTTCTTATACATATGTGCATCTAAGATATATGACAGTGGAATCGGGCTAGGGATGTAGCTCAGTGGGAGAGCACATGCTTGACTAGGTTCAATCCCTATCACTGCTGAAATATATCTTTATATTTATTTACATATATGTATATATGCATGTATGATAATAGAATCATAAGCTATGTGCTAGCTTTCAGTAGGAAGCTATTTTGAAATAATAGATTCAGATTGGATTCATTTGCATTTATGTGATTCCAAACAACTAATTTATCAAGTATTTCTGTAGTTCAGTGAACTTATGAACACACATGCACACACACACATTCACATGTTCACTGGGCTAATATGTTATATATAAGCTAAAATATAATGCATTGCAGCTAGGGATATAGCAAAATTGTAGAGTGTGTGCTTAGCTTGCCTACACATACACATAGTGTAGATGCTGCACATAGACTTACAAGTTTTAGTTCATGGATTATCTGTTTTAAAAACGAGTTTTAAATACATTTCTTGTGACCTTAGTGTGCTTCCCCCCAAATGCCTGTGTCATTTACATTTATGTGTGTCAATCAGAGATAATAATATCCTGCCCTTTTCATGAGTAGTCCCCAGTAGATAGTCATTCTCAGTTGTTGTTATTCTAGTTTTTCCTTTTTGTGGCTTAAGCACACATACTATTGTTTACTGGGGGAGGATGTGGAAAAGAAGAAATGTATTTATGATGATGGACTGTTTCTTCTGTTTCACGTGAGTAAAGCTTGCCCTTTGCTTTCTCTCTCGCCTGAGAGGCAGCATTGCTCCTTAGCCTACTCCAGCTGTGGGAAGTCAGACTGCTGAAGGAAGCTAATTAAGCAGCCCAGCCAGTCACTTTTTGGATATAGGAACTGCTTTTTTTTTTTTTTTGGTCTGTATCTTTAGCATCTGTCATGGATATGTAAGTGGCAGATGCTCAGTGCATGAAAACAAGTGTCCCTAGAAATCTTCTCTTTGGATTTTCTACTAGAAATGATAATTTTAGAGAGATTGGGTAATCTTGTTGCTGGTACTGAAGTTATATACATTTGAAAAATTTTAACCTTGAAGATCTCAATAAATTTGTCTTTTAGAAAAACTTTCTGAGTAATAAAATGTGGTTGTAGTTTACTTTTAGAATAATTTCATTCATTAAATGTCTTTTTTTGTTGTTATTCTCTATATGTTGGGATACTTTTTATATTTTGTTTCCAAAAAAGGATTACTGACTTAATTGAAACTTTTAAGTTGGTCAGAATGGCAACATCTGAAATACAAATATTTGCTTTTAAGTCAGAATTTGATGTTTGACACTTTTTCTATACTTTAAAAATTCCACAAAAATACAGGTTTTTTTCTTTGTATGTACATCTGTTTAAGTATGAAAAGACTTAAGAGAACTAGAGTGTAAGTTATTTTCTAGCTATTGCTGATGAAATTGAAAATGGCAAAAATGTTGGGCTAACTATAAGAGAAAGATTATTTTGTCTTATAGCTAATTTTTGTCTTAAATTCCTCCTCATATTTACCAAAACAAAAAACTGTTACGAGATGCGATTGAAAAATACAGTGAATGTTTAAATTTTAAAAATTTATTACAGTAAAAAACGTGTTGCCATTAGTCTCCCTCAGAATACTCCCCTTCATTTTGAACACACTCACCCCACTGTTCTTGCCACTTTCTGAAGCAGTTCTTTTTATGAATGTCTTTGGTTGTGTTGTCTTGGCTTCTTCAGTGTCCTGAGTCAATTCAAAACATTTACCTTTCATGGTCATTTTTACTTTGGGGAAGAGTCAAAGTGCCAGTTTGGGATTATACCTTGTTGGATGAGGCCACACTGTACTATGAGGCTGACTCTTGTTGGGTGTCACTCAGCACCAGCATTGACTGTATTTTTTTTTTTTTTGGTACCGGGGATTGAACTCGGGTTCTTGCACTTGCAGGGCAGGTGGCGGAACTACTGAGCTAAATCCCTGGCCCCTTGACTGTATTTTTGATCACACCTTGTAAAGACATGAAAGACTTCCAGAACTCCTTCAAAAAGTGACAAGAACTATGGGATAAGTGTGTTTGAAATGGGGTGTGTTTTGAGAGAGATTATTGACAAAGTATTTTTTAGTGTAATAAATTTTAAAAGTTTAAACATTCACTATGTATTTTGATTACTTGTATATTATCATGATTTGTATTGTTGAAGACTATTGGATGACAAGCATACTATAATAAATATTGAATGAAAAACTTTTAGAACTGTGTAACACAATCCAAACTTTGCTCTTTTTTTGGGGGGGGTATGAGGGATCGAACTCGGGTCCTTGCGTTTGCAAGGCAGGCGACGGAACCACTGAGCTAAATCCCCGGCATGTTCTTTTTGTTTATTTTGAGACAGGGTTTTGCTGTGTAGTTCAGGCTGGCCTTGAACTCATTATGTAGCCCAAGCTCATGGTGATCTTCCTGCCTCAGCCTCCCAAGTGCTGGGATTACAGGTGTGCAACACCACACCTGGCTTCAAATTTTGCTCTTTAAATACAAACGTACTCAGCTATGAATTAATACAGAAAAAAATATATAAAATATTAACAATGGCTAGTCTTAAAATTGAAGATGAGCATTATAGTGCCAATATAGTTGTAATTTAGATATGTATTAATTATAAATTAAGGTAGAAAATCTTTTTACTTCAGTTTTCTTTTTCCTCTCCAGTTCTGAGGATTTAACCCAGGGCTTTCACACTGAGCTACTTCCTCAGCCCTTTTTAAATTTTTTTGAGATAGGATCCCATAAAATTGCTGAGTTGTCCAAGCTGGTCTCTAATTTGTCATCCTTTTGCCTCAGCCCTCCAGGGTGCTGGGTTGACAGGTATATGCCATATGCCCAGCTAGAAAGTATTTTTAATGTTACAGGGGCTGATAAAAAAAAGTGTATATTTACATTAAAATTTTTTATTACAGTAAGAGACACATTGCCATTAATCTCCTTCAAAATATTCCTTCTAGGGGCTGGGGCGAGGCTCAATAACAGAGCATTTGCCCAGCATGTGGGAGACTCTGGGCTCATTCCCTAGTACTGCAAAAACAATGTTCCTCCTTGCTTCGAGCACACTTATCCCATTGTTCTTGTCACCTTTTTTATTTGTTTTGTTTTTTGAAATAGGATCTCACTATGTTGTTTAGGATGGCCTTGATCTATGCACAGGCTGGCTTAGACTGTGGTCTTTCTGCCTCAGTCTCTCAAGTGCTGGGATTATAAGCATGCAGTACCATGCCTGGCTATTCTTGCCACTTTCAAAACAGTTCTGGGCGTCCTTTTTCTTGTCTTCATGAGGTGTGATAAAAAATACAGTGAATGGTTGTGCTGAGTGCCATCCCATAGAAAGGCAGGCTTGTGAAAATGTTAGTGTGTTCTCATCTGCCTTACGACCCAGACCTGGCACCCTGTGATTTCTGGCTCTTCCCAGAGTCATGACCATGAAAGATAAATGTCTTGATTTGATTCACGACATGGAAGCAGCCATGGCAGTGCAACTAAAGACACTTACAAAAGAGAAATTCTATAACTGCTTTAGGCAAGAATGATGGGTTATTTGTGTTTGAAGTTGGGGGGAAGTTTTCTGAGGTGAATTAATGACAACGTGTCTTTTACTGTAATTTCTTTAAAAAGTTAAGCATTCACCACATTTTTGATCACACACATTTATTCCCATTTATTTTAGAATTTTGGTTTCTTGTTGCTGTCCATAAATCTTTTTTTAGCCTACTTCCTATATGTATTTCATTGAAAATTGTCTGTTATTTTTCAGGGAATTTTAGGAAGGAAATTTGTTAGAAACCAGGTAATTTCAGTTTTTATTGTTTCTATTGCATTTATTTAAACTGTTGCCTTTCATTTAGATTATTCATTATAAAAACATACTTGTCATGAGAGGAAATCACAGACAGATGTACTCAATTTCATGGAGTCTAAACATTAGCAATATTTTTTTTCTTAGTTGACTCTGCTCTTTTCTACTGTGACTATTTCTCTGAGCGTTGACCTCATCTGTCACACTCAACAGGTGACCTCACTTCCTGTGATAGGACCTCCTTTAACTTCCAGCCACCAAGTCTGCAAAGCCTGTCAGCACTCACTTCCGTTCTGTTACAGTGTAGGAGGAAGGGCTTATTTTCCTAGGCAAGGTCCAACCCTTTATGTACTACTGTACGTTCTGAGTCCTTTCCCCTGCTTTGTCAGGATGCTGATGGTGTCTTATATTCTACCTCCATCTCTGCTTTACCTCTTACTTTGAACTTCTTATTCACTGGCTCTATCACAGTATTCATGTGATCATAAAGCCTTTCTGGACCAAAACAACAATCTTCTCTAATCCTGCCACTCTCAACTTCTTGCTTTCCCTTCAAAGCCGGACTTGAAAAGGTTGTTTATACCCATAGTCTGTCTCCTATCTCCTACCACTTAGTTCATAGAGATTGTATTTTCAAAGTATTCCAGCAAAACTATTCTTGCCAAAGTCACTAGTGACTTTTTTTTTTTGGTCAGACAAACAAGGAGTTAGTTTTTGAATTTTCATTTGT